TACAAAAATAAAAATATTTCTTTAGCACCTTCTAAACTTTAAAGTTCTAGCATCTGGCCAAGTTTAAATGAGTAAGCGCGGCTTCCTACACCCCTCCCCCTCCACCGGACACGCACTTTCTTTTGCTAATGCTGGACTATTTCCGTTTAGAAGGAGCAATAAAAATATTTTTATTTTTGTTAAATTGAAGATATATTATTATTTTTCTTCCAGATGTTGTTGTTATGTTGTAAATAGAGTATTCCCAAAAGGTTTTCAGTAAATTAAAAATGATCCTGTATAATTATATTATTATTATTGTAGTTTTAATTTAGTCAGTGTTTGGCCTTGGCTTCGTTCGAGTGATAAGCTGGGTGGGATTCAAGGGTAGTCTATGTCCGTATCAGGGTGCAATCTATGTCTTGGCTAAATTTTATCGAAATCTGTTCAGCCGTTTAAGCGTGAACAGAATTACTTTCATATTTATAATATTAGTATGGATTGTTATCAGTAATAATACCTATATTAACTTACTAACATAATTGTAAGATTATGTAGGTATATTTTTTTAATAATTTTTGAACTTGAAATAAAATAATTTATTGTAGTAGAAGCTAAATCGTTAGGAAGTTTTAGGTTTATTTATTATGTATATAATTTTATTAATTCATTTATGTAAGTAATAATAAAATATAAGTAAGAAAATATTAAAAAAAAAAAATCTGGTGATATATTTATATTCATAGCTAAGATAACATCTATGTCATTTTGATGTATCTTTTCCGTAACGCGCAAGTAATGGTTAACTTTCTAGGGTTTGGGGGTTACTTTGTCGCTAAACAAATTGAGTGTAGCGTTATTCAAGGCACGGACAAGACGCGACCTTTTAGCTAGCTATAAAAATGGAAATGGTGTAACTGTAGTTTTTCTTTATTTTTATTTAATTTTTTTTTAATCTATTAGAAATTGTTTTGGTAAAGGAAAAGGTAGGAAAATGTATAAAGTAAATGACTCACTAATATTATATGAAATGAACTCATCAGTACTATTAGATATTACTACTATCTCTAAAGTATTCAATAATACTGTAATATTTAGACGACACGTGTGGCTCAGTTTGTAGTGACTTGCTGTGCCAGCGGTCGCGGGTACGAGTCCCGCTGGGGCATTCGTTTGTGTGATAAGCGTGAATGTGTGTACTCTAGTCATGGGTGTTTATATTTATAATATGTATACATTTGTGTAGTGTGTCAACTATCTGGTATCCATAACACAAGCCTCGTAGCTTACTATGGAACCAGATGGTGCTGTGTGTTAATGTCCCAATATATTTATATTTATTAGAGTACAATATTTTTTTTGTATCTACACATTATCTTATCAGAGGCCTCTTTCCGTTAATTTGAAATTTTTTATCATATTCATTTCACGCATGTATTATATTTTAAAATTTACTTATTATTAATAAAACCAAAAATTTAATTACACATTTATAGCTCAATTTACAAATATTATCTACGTACTAAATAAAAATATTCGCAAAAGAACTAAATAAAATTGTGAAATTTTATTTCATTGTTAGGCCACTTTGCCTGAAGGCGTGACGTTAGGGTTAGATGAAAAATGAGCGGGTAGAAATTAAGTTTCGCTGTGAAAAATGTTCTTTTCGCTGGGCAGTGTTTTAAAATAGGCCTACGTCCTTTTAGGTACTGCTTTTGTGTAGCAAATTGCTAAAGTCAAATTATTACAAATAAGAAAATATCTATTCAATAGTATTATTTGCCTAAATAATGGTTTAAATTAATACTTTCTTGTAATATTTATAATAATAAATAGCTAAAGTTAATTAAATAATATTGATACATTTAATTATGATACTTATTATATTTTTTTTAAATGTTTAGAATTAAAATCAACAAATATCGTAAGGTAATTTGGTGCCATTTTTGAATTTTTAAAATTATTTTTGTAAAATAGTACTATCTGTAACAAGTATATAACGCCTTTGAGATGTCTTAAACCTTAAACAAAATAAATCCGCGAAATAATCCGAAAAGATAGTATTATTTAAAATGGTTTAAATTGTATAAAATGTGTATTAAATTATTTAGTTTCATTTAATTAGCTAAGTTGAAAATTTCCTAGTGGCCATTTTCGGACAGGAATCTTGCAATTTAATCGCAGAATTCATTGCTTTATCATTTATGGATGTTTTGCTTTATACTTTTATTGTTTTATGAATATTGCAGCCATGGGATGTTAAAAAGGGCTGAATACAGTACAGTACAGTAGGTAGTAGAAATCAGCTCACTTTAAATGTCATATTCAGTATTTATGTAATAAATAGAACTACAATGCAGGCAAAACCGGCTGTCGTAAATAGCTAATGATATAATAAATTATTGTTCATATTTGAGGAAGTTAATCAAAGATTTGTCTGTTCACCGAAAAGCTATAAAATGGCAAAATCACAAAAAACAATTCCAAATTTCTGAAACTTAATACTTTGATATTATCTGTGGCAATTTACAGATAATATATGACTTAATCGAAACCACCATCTTTGAAAGGCAACCTCACTTTTATTGCTGTACAAAAAATATAAATCATAGACAACGGTCCTTGGTTTATCGCCAATATGTTATTGTTTTTTCATCTATTTCTAACACTATTTTGACAATATGTGTGTAATATTAATTTACGGCCAGTTATAATATTTTACGACTGTTTTTGATAAATGTTTTAATGATAAAAGTCTAATTTATGAGAACTTTCTCAGTAATATTGTTGGGTTATATGTGAAATTTCTAAAATATTTTAGATACAAAATACAGAGATATTTATTTTTAAAGAAATATAAAATTAAAGATTTAATATTTATTCCCTAATTACGATTTATGATGATATTAAAAATAGTAAAAAATCATTTTAAACACATTTTACCTTTGTATGTTTATTATAGATTTCTCAGAGATGAGATATTTTCCCGCAGTAAAAAGTATCATATACATACCTATGTTGACCCGAATAACCAGTTATCATTATATCAAATTTCATCAAAATCTGTGCAGTGGCTTTCTCGTGTCCATTCCCAGACAGACAGACAGACAGACAGACAGCCAGACAGACAGATAAACAAAAAATCTTAAAACTTTATTTAATGTACAGATTCGGATTAGTTACAATTTTATTAAATGTATAGATTTATATTTTTATATAATTTTTACCTACTAATGTCTTCAATTACAATATATTTTAGGTAGGCACCTAATAACATTTTTACCTTATGTAAGGAGATGATAGCTTAAAAGTATAACCTACCGTTCAAAGTTCATTTAAAAACAAAAAAACTTAGTTACTTCGACTTAGTTACAATTTTATTATATGTATAGATTATGTAGTTTGGACAGATGAAATTACTAAGCCAAACAAAGCCTTCCAATATTTCCTAAATTCTTTCAATGTTAAGAAATCGTCACTACAATACAATATTTATCATCTGTAACAGGTAAAACATAAAAACATACAAACTGGCTAATGGCTATTCAACAATAACATGTTGTCGTCACAAAATTTTTTATTGCAACCAACAAAAACTAGTGCTAATGTAAATAAATTACATAAAACAAACACACGCGATTAAGCTATAAAAATGCTACTGTTTTTTGACACCAGCGCCTTCTAGGAACATATAAAACGCGATGTTCTACTCGCATTAAAAGGAAGAGGCTAATAAAGTAATAAGAAGCCAGAAACGGTCGGTCCTGGATATAATTTTGCTATTAATATTCAATTTTACCCAAACTTTGCTCTCTTCAAAGAAATTTTGAGATGACAATCTGATATGACGATCGTTTAAGGTTCCCAGTACAAAGGTTGTGCTCAAGTATACTTTTTACACGTGTTCTCTTGTTGATACGGATTTAACACTGCGCACGTGTTCGTCCTTCTTGGCTTTCGGAATAAAAATATATTAGAAGATGTTACTATATCATTATGCATTATCAGCCCATTATTTCTGTATTTAATATTCGTATCTTTAATCTTTATTGTAAAATTAAATTTTAGGTAGGCACTAGGAATATTGCAAATCAAAATCCCTCCAGTGGTTTTTCCGTGATGCGGTAACAGACAGACAGACATAGGTACCTACTTGTTAGTGTCATCTAGCTGTGTCATCTAGCTCTTACTTGCTAACTTTTTTTACAATAATATACCCAAATTATAGAAGTAATGAAAGTTTTTAAAGTTATTTTTTTTAAGTTAATAGATTTTAAAGTTAAAAATTTAGGTCCTGTATTTGTTTTATAGTTTTTAAATTTATATTCGCGATTATAAAAGTAATCTATATACATTTTGAATTAGCTAGCGTCTAAGTCGCTTAGAACAAGATATTTTCAATTTCCTCTTGTGAATTATATTTTCCACCATAAAAAGTTGAAATAGCTTAAGCACGTTTAACAGGTTTGCTGTCTTGTTTACCTTGCTCTTATTGCCCATATTATTACGTAGACTTTTTTTTGTTTTTACAATGACAATATTATAATGGATATGATCTAAGTATGTGTAGGTTTGTGAATGGAGGTAGGTAGATGGAGATATGCCCAGCTTTTGTTTAAATCGCGATGAAAGAGCATGTAGGTGTGATAGAATGTGTGTGTAGGCTTGAATTGGAGTAAGGTAGGTTCGGGTAATAAGGCCTAGCTAAGGGAGATTTGAAATAAAATAAAAACTATATACCGAAATCAAGTAATTATAATGTTAAGTATACCTATAGAACAATGACTATAAAATAAAAACAAAAAATGGCAGGTTTTGCTGTAAACAAAAACAAAATTAAACATTTTTTAAAACACTATCTAAAGGCCTTTTTATACTATGGTCGGGTAATAAGGCCTAAGTCTTTTTACATACATAAATAATCAAAATATGCATCTTATATTTGGTAATTGCGATCAATAATCGTAGATATGCATTAATCACGCATGAAGTCTTAAATAAGAAACAGATTCCTTTGATTAACAGCCGTCAAGACACTCAAAAGTGTCCCTATCATCTGCTGATAAACCAACACATTCCTCTTGATACCACTTGCCGCATTTAGCACATTGCCTTATATCTGCCATCTTACCCTCTTTACAACTATGACAGTACCAGCTCACTTGTTTCTGCTTAGTACCACTTCTACCTTTGAGATTCGATGTCATTATTATTTTCTTTCCTTTCTTGTTTTTGTCAAGTCGGTCTTTAGTTAGTTAGTTTAGACTGAAGTTCTCCTGTAATTTAAGGCTTTTCTCCTAAGTATTGGTGTTTTTTCAAATCCTAATTATCATAAACTTCACTTAGTCGCTTAAAGTGATTATCAACAATAAATTTATTAAGTTTTTGAGCTCCGGCTGGGTTCATTAATTGAGCTATTCTTCTAGATATTTCTGCATGTCTTTTCATGAATACTTTAAATCAATCTTTCTTTACCTGGAACTTCTAGAAGATGGTTAAAGTTATGCTTGATGTTATTAAAATGTTCGCAAATTAAAGATCAAGCGTCGAGAATCAGTAGTGTCACAGGCAATCCAATTTCAGCGAACTTCATGATTCTCCTTACAAGTTCAGTTTCCTATGGATTTTTGACCTAATTTTTTTTAAACTGCCGGTCTGAATATGATTCCTAATGGTTCTTCTGGGAACTTTATACTTCTCAGCAGCTTTATAGGTACTCAGTATTCCTCTTTTTACCGCTCGAACAGCCAACACCAAGTTTAGAACTTGGTATATTAACCTGGTAAATTTTCAGACCACAATGCCCGTTCGGGAGGCATTGTGATTGCTGTGACTAAAAAGAGACAATAAACAATTAGTAAACAGTTGTCATTACTTTTTATAACACTCCTAGCTATTTAAAAAAGATACTAACTAAAGCTGTGATATTGATACAAAAAGGAGGATAATAAGGCCTACGATCAAATTTTGTAGGCCTTATTAACCATCGGCAACACGTGTAAAGAAAAATAAAGATAATATGATTCGAACTATGATGTTATAATTTAAACTTCTAAGGTCATAAAAGTATGAAATTATAGAAATTTATAATGTAAAATTACATAATTATGTGAAATATTTAAAAAAATACTTACGTTTGTAACTGACGGTTTTTTATTATTCGAGGTGTCACAACCGCATCCCACAATGAAAGATGTCGCACTGGCGACATCACACGAGCCCTTTTGTCGTGACATGTTTGAGGCGCCATCTTTGAGTGTTAGCTACCTATGTTTGTGATCTTGAGTGATTCAAACAATTTAAAGTTGAATTTCTAGAGCTTAGGCCTTATTATCCGACAGGCTTTATTACCCGAACCTACCTTACTTTTGGGAACTGATAATGTCTTATGATAAAATATTTAGATTTCTTTTGCAGTTAATACGTTTATTATATAACTAGTTAATACGTTTATTACATACTTATTAGCTTGATTCACCATACAAACTTTCATCCCCATTTTCACCCTCTTATAGGGCGATTACCGGGTATCCTATGTCCTTTCCAGGGTCTCAAACTATCTTCTTACCAAATTTAATCTAAATCAGTTCAGTAGATCCATAGATTACCCCCTACAACGTCACATACTCAAAATCTCACAAACTCACAAGCTTTACCTCTTTATAATATTATAGTATAGAATATAGATGATTGCTGTAAAGTATTCGAAATGTCGGGAACCAAAAATCAAAATGAATGCGCGAAATAATCCGAAAAAATAGTTTTATTTAAAACTAGCATTGCCCGCGGCGCCGCCCGCGTTCAGATGACCAAAAACTAAATTCTTAGGTTTTACATAGGTATTAGTATACTCTTACTATAATGAGATATTTTCCCGCGGTAAAAAGTAACCTATATGTTAACCCGGATAACCAGCTATCAACATACCAAAATATCATCAAAATCGCAGTGTTTTTCTCGTGATGCGGTAACAGACAGGCAGACAGATAGACGGACAGACAAAAATTCCAATAACTATAGATTCGGACTCTGTACCGATAATAATATCAATTTCAATAAGATTTTCCAAAAAATATTTAATGTACAGATTCGACTTAGTTACAATTTTATTATATGTAGGTATAGATTGGTCACACTATAAGTAAACAATGATTCTGCATAAGGCAACATCGATTCCATAAAGTCTGGCTAGTCCTTCCATAAAAATTCCAAGCTCAGGTAGGTATACAGCAAGGCACACCTGACTTCGTCTGATTATCGCGAGATCATAATGCGGTCAGATTTACGACGTCGTAAAACAGCTCACCATGCTTTGTTGACAAAATAGGCGCCTAATGTAGTGCTACCATATATTATAAAATATGTTGGGATGTTCATTGAACTTTGTATTTAAAATTGATTATTTCATTTCGTCTTCGTTGATAAATAATAAATTATTGTTTATATATAATCTATGTATATTAATATTATTAAGAAGTAAAGTTTGTGAGTTTGTGAGGTTGTAGGGCGATCTCTGAATGTACTGAACCGATTTAGATGAGATTTGGTAAGAAGATAGTTTGAGACCCTGGGAAGGACATAGAATATTTTTTATCCCGAAAATCATCCTTGAAGGGGGTGAAAACGGGGATGAAAGTTAGTATGATGAACCAAACCAAATAATTAGATCGTTTATTGGATGAACGTAGTACGTAGTTTATATAATAAAAAAACGGCTTAAATTGTAAGAAATTATAAATAAATGTATAAAAATAAATATAAATAGCTGAAAATAGAATAAAATTATGTTATCTGCAGATTTGATAACAATATCTTAGTAACTATGGTAGCCCTACACCATAGGTAACCTTCGCTTAATATGGATAAGACTAGGAGAAGAATTGAAGGTCTTCATAAATAGTACCCTACATAATTATATAATATATTTTTAATTATATTAATATTAGACATGTATGAAAAAAAGTTTATATATATATATATATATATATATATATATATATATATATATATATATATATATATATATATATATATATATAGCTTTTATGTACTGGTAAGTAATTTTCACAATCACATCCACATTAATGATTTCTTTGTATTTCTTTGTATTGCAGGAACATAAAAAAAATTTAATAAAATAACTTATCAATGCATCGCATCATATTTTTTCTATTTTATTGCATTGAAGCCTACGGTAGCCTTCGGTAGCGATATTTTAAAAACGCATTTCCATTCAAAAATACCATAATTTGTCGATAGAATATTAAAAAAATATATGCTGTAAAATAACACGACGGGCCGTAAGTGGCAATTTATTATTACCGACATTTCTATTGGGTTGCACTTGCTGTGGTTTCGGGCAAGCTGCCTGGAAATAACGTATTATGCTACATAAATGGTATTTTATATAATTATGAAACACGAGAATATAAAAATATAAAAAAAAAACATTATTTTAACGACGTATTTTTTCAAAACCATTGCTGTCTATAGGTTTTTGTTTGAAATACTAATTACTTTCAGCAAATTCTAAATATTTAATTAAATATTACGAATATTTCTAAGTTTATTTCCACCAATTTAAAAAGATTTTTCTAAAATATTATTTTTTCAACAACTGAGAGTTGTTAACATAAATAAACTCCAACCCTCCCAACGCTGTTACAAATTAAAAAGTACCCGTTATAAATGGCTACGACACTCGCGATGATTAATGCTTAGAGAAATTAAAATAACACGATAATGTTATATCTTATTTACGACCGGCAATACTTCCGTGAAGATTGTTTTGATACGCTAATGGTCTCAAAATTGTGTTTCAATTGATTTTTTTTTAATTCTTATAGATATAGAGACTTGATTTGTCTATGTTTAAAAGAATACGTATTTAAAAAAAAACCTTACCATCTTATTTGGTATCTACGTAATATATATATATATATATATATATATATATATATATATATATATATATATATATATATATATGTGTGTAAAAAAATAATTAAATATTCTTGAAAATTACACTCATTTACTTTAAATTTAGCATAACGACATCTTATTTAAATAAGCTCACGAAGTTGTCGTGACAATATCAATTGTACTGAATATATTCTGTCTGTAAATAAAAAATAAGGATACTTAGAGAAATGATTGATTTATAAAATACATAGGCATAGTTTAAAAAAAATGGCTCTTTTTTAAAAAGAAGGACGTTATTCAAGAGGTATGTATAGTTTTTTTGTGATATTAGCTAATTTTATTAGCCGATTTTTATGATTATTTCTTTAAACAATAGCATGATGATGTTCTCCTGACCGATTCCAGCCACTCACTAACTAAACTTGGCCTGACCCGGGACTCGAACCCAGGACCTCCGGGTGTAGCCGTACAGCTAGCCACTACACCATTAAGGCAGTTGATATCAAAACAATAGCATATACTAGAGATGAAGGACATATAATATAATTATGAATAAGTATAGTATAATTATTTACTTTTAATTTTAATGAAATTGAATTTTAATGTGTTTGAAATCGAGTAACTCACAACGTTATTTTAATAACCAAATAATAACACGACTTATAAAAGCGAAATAATTAAACTCTTTTGTTCAAGTACATATTTAAATAATTTTTAATTTAATGTGTTTTATCATTCGATAACATTTAATAAATTATATGATTAGGTTTTTAAAAAGTAATGAATGAACTAAAAAATTAATTCGTAAGCTTTAAAACCAGCAAGTGTTTTATAAACCAATTCACCTTTTCGAAGTTTCCATTAAGATCACGATAAAAAGTAGGTACTCCTTGGCGCAGTTAAAAGAATTGTAAAACGACGCCCAGGGGCCTGCTAGACTTCGCCGTACTGAAATTTTCTCGAGATTTATTTGAATAAATTATTTTTACCCACCTGCAGTGAAGGGTTGTTAAGAGAATTTATTACTTGCAATATGATATCTTAAGGACCAAATCTGTTTTGTATCTATAGATTACTCGTATATATAACTTCGGAAACTAATAAGTTTTAGCAAAGCAATCCTTTACACAGATTGCGTAAAAAACAGTAGTTCAAGCACTGAATATGAAATAAAACTCTAATAAGCTATTTTATGTCTACCTAGCAGAGATTAAGATTTAAGATGGTGATAGATACTCAAATCATTGATTACAAATTCCTTTTTTTTTTGTTACAAAATACATATAATAATTTCGACCACTTATACATAATATTATTTGGGACATTAACATACAGCAACATCTAGTTCCATGGTAAGCTACGATCCTTGTGTTATGGATACCAGATAGTTTTTACACTACACATATATAAACTTTAAATACATACATATTATAAATATAAACACCCACGACTGGAGTACAAACATTCGTGCTCATCACACAAATGAATGCCCCAGCGGGACTCGAACCCGCGACCGCTGGCGAAGCATGTAGGGTTACTATAAACTGAGCCAAACGTGTCGTCAAATATTTGTCTAAATTGGTCAGATACGGTAAGTAGTTGGCTGTAAAGTTACATTTCATAGGTAAGGCCTGTGTAATATACTTAGTCTGAAGAAATCTGACCAGTTACATGCTATTCACCATAGCAATTTATCTGCGCAGCTTCATTATATTATAGTTAGAACCAATCGTACTCTAGCAGGTGATCTTTACGCAACGACGAAATGACGAATTGGAGGAATTTCTTTCATACAGATACTTACGGGTCGAAGTCTCCAAGGCTACCTTTTTCCTTACCTACATCAAGATTCTATAGTTACTTAGGCAAGTGACTATCGCGAAGTTTATATTTTCAAATAGTAAATTTGAATTTCACTGAAAATATTTTAGAAAAATATTTATTTTACTAGAGTTTCACCCTAGCTTTGCTCGGGCTCATCCCTATCTATGTACCTACGTTGTAACGGTTAGTATGGAATTGATAGACTGATTCCTCAAGCAAAATTTTATCCTCCTTTTCACCTCCTTCAAGGATGATTTCGGAAACACTATCCTGTGTCCTTTCCAGGGTCTTAAACTACCTCCATACCATATTACATCTAAATCGGTTCAGCGGATTAAGCGTGAAAAGGTAACAGACAGACGGACAAACAAACAGACAGAGTTACATTCCCATTTATAATATTAGTATGGATAATCTCAATGTCCTTACATCGTCCTTATTTACAATAATTTTCAAATTATAATTTCCGTCCACTCAAAACAATGAATTG